GGGGGGGGGGGGGGGGGGGGGGGGGGGGGGGGGGGAAGTATTTTTTTGGTTAAATAAGGTAAGGCCACATTTTTGCCCATGTTTTGTTGATGTCCCAAATTGGAAGGTGCTTCAAACCAGCAAGGACAAATTTGGAAGAAGCTGCCACAGACCAGTAATGGGCAGTGTTCCAACTGGAAATACTTGCACATCTATGTTTTCTGGGAACAGCCGCAAGAGTTTTGCGTTACTCAGCTATTGTGTCACTCAGGCTTTGCATGAAGAGGTAAGAAGTCATTGTCTCATGTAAGATTTGGAAAAAAAAAGGAAGAAAAGACAAATAGATTGAAGTTCAGCTCCAAAGTCTTAGACTCAAAAGATTGGAAGTGCCTTGTCAAAGTGTAAACTTACTACATTCATCAAAAAGCAGGAAAAGTAATAAAAAGAGAGTTCCTAAGACTACTAAGTGTCTAACAAGCCAAAGTTTTGAGTCGGAACCAACCTGGAACTTTTTTTGATCTTTGCTTTAGTTGTAAAGTTATGTTACAAGCCTGATTCTGCCAGTTGTTATTCTACCGCATATTCACAGTCCCTGATGTACCCAGAAGCTGGTGTCTGGTCCCTAGGCTCTCAGCACTCTTCCTAAACCACCGGTGCTCGGTTCTTAGGACTAACTCCCTGCTTCCAGACCTCCTAATGGTTTTTGTGCTGCTGAGGTTAAGCCCCCAGTCCTGACACCAGAGCTACCATGTCTCCAGTCAGTCTCTTCCCACCATGGTTCTCATCACCCACCCTTTTCAGGTACCTCAAACACTGCTTTTGTTTCCTGTTCCAATCATCCGCTCCAGCCCTACGGCAGAAGTGAGCGGGAAGTGAATGTTCTCCTACCCATCGTACATTTGTAAGGTTTCTTGGCTGCGTGGATTTTCAAATGCACTTTAAGCGTTGAGCTTTTCCGGAAGCTTTTCCCACACTCACCGCACTCATAGGGCTTGGCTCCTGCATGGATCCTCAGGTGGGCACCAAGGGCTGAGCTGTGCCTGAATGTTTTTCCGCACTCCTCGCACTTGTAGGGTCTCTCCCCGCGGTGGATCCTCAGGTGCACATTGAGAGCCGAGCTCCGCCGGAAGCTGTCCCCGCACTCCACGCAGATGTAGGGCCGTTCCTCGGCATGCGTGGTCTGGTGCTTGGCCAGAGTGGAGCGGTCGCTGCACCTCCGGCCACACTCAGCACACTGGTAGGGGTTGGTCAGGAGGCCACCGTGGTACATGGGCAAGGCCTTTCCCCCGTGGATGCGGCGATGCGTGGTGAGCGCCGAGCTCTGGCTAAAGCCCTTTCCGCACACAGGGCACTTGTAGGGCTTCTCGCCTGTGTGTGTTCGCATATGGGTCACCAGCGAGGAGCTCTGCCGGAAGGTTTTCCCACATTCGGTGCACTCGTATGGTTTCTCTCCCGTGTGGATCCTCTGATGCCTAATGATGGCTGAGCTGTCCCGGAAACGCTTCCCACACTCCTGGCACTTGTGAGGCTTCTCTCCCGTGTGGACTCTGCGGTGTATGATCAGGGAAGAGCGATCGCTGAAGCTCTTCTCACACCGCGGACAATTAAAGGGTTTCTCACCCTTGTGGCTTCTCTGGTGGACAATGAGATGCGAGTTCTGGCTGAAGCTCTTCCCGCATTCGTTGCACTGGTAGTGTCTCTCTCCCGTGTGGGTCCGCTGGTGCCTGATCACATTGGATCTCTGGCTGAAGGTCTTCTTGCACTCATTGCACTGGTAGGGCTTCTCGCCCGTGTGGATCCGCTGGTGTTTGATAAGGTCTGAGTTGCGGGTGAAGCTCTTCCCACATTCAGAGCAGCTGAAGGGTTTCTCTGACAGGTGGATCCTCTGGTGCTGGCTCAGGTATGAGCTCCGGCTGAAGCTCTTCCCACACTCGGGACACTCGTAGGTTTTCTCTCCCACCTGCTGAATCCAAATGGCACCATTCCCACACATGGGTGGGTCTGGCTTGTCTCCAACAAGGATAACTTTGCTGATGTGGGCTCTACCACTGTCCTCACGTTCCCAGACTTCCATCCCACAGGGAGTTACCATTCCCCATCTCTTTCCAAAAGTCTCCACCTCACTTTCTGCCTCCAGCTCCTGCTTGCAGTCCTGTCTTTGATCAGCATCCTGGAAGGTATCTCCTGTGAGCTTTCTGGAGGGGAATAGATGCAGTTCAGCTCTCACAGGACTCTCCTGATGAAGCTTGCCCTTTTGTGTGTTGTCCATGGTCCTGTCACCTGCTGGAGTGAACAGAGGAACTAGTAATGAATAAAGCCCCCCTGCTTCTTGGAGGGAGAAGTCCAAACAGGGCAACTGCAGAGACCTGCTGCATGTCAGCCACCATTAGCTAACAGTGAGGACCCACCCTCTCAGTATCTTCTCTAGGCAAAGTGAGGGCACTGAGACCAAGGAGCACAGGAAAGGAGTGTGACCCAAAGATAAACAGCCACTGTGCCACAGATCGCAAAGAGGGTCCTCCATCATAAAGTTACAGCCCTAAAGGACAAAACTCATCACTTGATTGTCCTCAAAGTTCCCATGTCTAGTGAGGTTAGAGGAACATCACTGGTCTCCTCAACAACCCTCACTGCAGCTGCTTCTCTCCTGTTGCCTGTGAATCACTGCTCTTCTTCCAGCATTCCCATGCTTAATCAAGGAAGGAAGCAGTCAACGCCCCAGGAACATCCAGTCCTGCCAAGCAGACTATTTTCTTTCTTCTTTCCAGTCATAGCTCTTTTCCTTAAAAAGTAAGGCCTACATATTCTGCAGCAAACTGTATCTAGATTTTGTCTACAGAACAGATAGGCAAATGAGTGGAAAGATAAACTGTTTTATTAATCAAGCACAGAAACGAACATTTTGATTTAAACATTTCGAGGCTCCTGATTTTTTATTAGTTATACTCATATGAAGAACACACTTTGGAAATGGATGCTGGAGTGTGAGGTAAGCCGATTAGCTGGATGGCACTGTTTACACAGTTGACATCATCCTCTTATGTGTGGGATGTCAGAATATGAGGTGAATGCAGCAGGATAAACCCCTCAGGTTTTGATTCAGGTGATCTGCATGTTTTGGAAGACACCATGGCACTGGTTTAACTGATTACCAAAGTTTTGTTTACAACACTCAGGGCTGAAAAACATTTGTAGTACAAATAAAGCACTGGCCCAAGGCATGCACCTCAAGGCAAACTGATCAATAAAACATGAAAAATATTGTCAGCATGAAAGGAAGAAAAAGCCACACTTTCGTTAGTTATGCATTCTAACATTCTGAGTATAGTCTTCACTGAAAAATACACAGGATTTGATTTCATTTTGGATAGGGTCCTTTTGAAAGGCTATTAGATACCCCAGGAGGGTGTTTCATCTTTTAAAGTACTGGAGCAGTACAGGCTGGATGAGAGTGAGGCATGCAGCACAGGACACACCAAATTTTCAGCATTCAGCTCTTCCCAGACATGCTCTATCCACTTTCTCACCTTGTGAGCAATCTCTCTACTGTCTTGGTGTTTAGCTGCTTCTGGCCACAAAGCTGTTTCTCTTCACTCCATCCAGGAGGTTAAAGCCAAGTTAGGGACTGCAGATCCTGATTAAAGGAAAGAAAACAGATGTGTAGCCGTGCAGTAGAATGAGATTACACAAGAATAAGTATTTAGCAGATGAAAGCAACCTAGACTAGAGGAAAATGACACCCAGAAACATGAGTCAGGGTCACTGTCTGTTCTGCCACACACACCGTGACACTGCTGTTTGGGTCCAGTAACCAGGGCCAGCTCATGTAGTGAAGACAGGTTTGACTACCTATCAGCAGAGAGCTGCCTGCCAGTTTGCTGACTTCTCACAAGTGTCTGGATGTTCCTCCTGCTGCACTTCCAGACCAAAATGCCTTCTACTGGGTTTTGTGTAAGAATAATACTGATTCCTCAGACCATTTTCTCTCCATCATCTTTCTTCCTAGTGAACTAAATAAGAACATAATATAGTTAATGCAGTTCTGTTCTGCAGATGGAAGAAAAAAGCCACCTTCACAACTGAGCTGCTTTCTGTGTCTGTCTGGCGTCCCATTTATTGCCTTTACCAAAGGAGTATTTTGCTTGGTTGCTCTCAGTGGCTCAGCCAGGCACACGCAGGTCTGGGTGAGAGATTTTGGTCTGCTCACACATTACTGACAGGAGCAGTCCGAAGGCAGAATTTTCTGTCCTGTGCTCCAGAAAAATGGCAATTTGGCTGCCTTGTTCCAGATGGGGTTTACAGGGCTGGCAGTGAGCAGAAAAAAACAAACACACACCTGTTTATGCATGAACACCGAGATGATTTAGTCAGCCAATATACAATCCCACTTTTCAAGGATCTCTTTTCAGAGCAGAAGTATGCTGTGCAGGAGTGGGGTTTGTGGGATAGAAAATTAGGTCACCCATTTAGCACTACATTTGTGCAGTGGTATTTGTACAGAGGCATTTTAAGATGCTGAGGGCTCAGTAACATCCTAGAAATGTACAGGTTACAGAAAGAAAATGCTTTAAAACTGCACATGTGAATGAATGCCAGCTCTGCAATGGTGTTGCACCATTTTGGTCACGTAGATTCCCACCGTGCCACTAGGAACAAGTGTAAAATTGCTCATGACTGGGTGTTCGTAAGAAATGTAAACCAGCATCTTTTCATTTCAAAATGAGAAACAAACAAACTGGCTGCTCAGTGGTGTACCCGAGGACGGTACTGTGACAGTTGCCAGGCCCTCCTGAGGACAGAGGGAAGATTTCCTCACCTGCATAACACCACCACAAAAAAAGGAGGCCCCTGATAAAATGGAGATCTGACATTTTGTTGGCTCTGCCTCAGCCTGGAGTCACATCCTTCCTGCTCCACACCGCCTCTTCCACAGTGGATTTGGTGGGATCACCCCTTGGGGAGAGGGTGTTTCCATTCCTCCTGGCAGCAGGCAGCAGCTACAGGCTCTGATCCTAGTAAAAGGCAAGGAAGCCAAGGTCTCCCTCCCCATACAATCTCCATCCACAGCGCCACTCTGTGGGTAAGCCTGACCCTGCTGAACCATCCTTCTGATTTTAGGAGAAAAGAAACGTCCTTCTGGCTCAGTCCCTTCCTACTGTCGTTCGAGAGCTGCTGCGAGCGCATCGTCAACATGCACCCTAAAATGGTGGACAAGCACCTACAGAAGGTAGAATGCAGATGCAGGAAGACAGCTGATGCTGTGCAGAGCCAGGTAGGTTGTGGGATATGGCAGAAAAGCATGTTGTGTGGTCGGTAGGAAAGATCTGTCTTTAAACAAGATGGGAAACCCGAAACACCACTGAGCACCAAACCCAGGACAAGGTGCTAGTCTCCAGAGCAACCATGTTTGGACAAAGCCAAGTCTACAAGCAGTGTCCTGGCTGATAAGGTAACCTACTCCTTACCAGGCAAAATGAGCAATGAGAGAGACTGAGCTCCTGTGATGACAGATAGATAGCAGCCCCAAAGAGGCTTCCCCATGAAGGATGAGGCTGGCCAGGAGCAGGCGAGCCACCACTGAGACCACGAGTCTCCAGGAGACGGGGGACGTGGGGAGAATAAAGTTCCCATGGATGTCAACCCAGGGAAACCAAACATCTTCCACGGGGACCTTCTCTGAGTTTGAACCCAGTGGCACAGCAAAGACATCAGACCCCACTGCCACAGGAGGTAGCCTGTGCCCAAACTCTGCCTCAGGCAAGCAGCTGCCACTGCCTTCCCCAACACAAATCCAGCACTGGGCAGCACACAGGCCCGGTGGGGGGGCAGGCGTGGTCAGGAGGAAGCAGGGGCAGCAGTGGAAGGAACAGTGGGAACAGAGGCGTCTTCTATGACACCACCACCCATGACACCTCCCCAGCTCTCCTGGGAGAACCCAGAGGGGCAGGAAGAGAACGCAGGCAGGCAGGCAAAGCAGCAGAGGTGACACCTCAGGCAGCATAGGGGACCCCAGACTGTTACGGACACCACTCACGGTGTGATGTTGGCCACATGGGCTTGTCTGGTTTTGTTTGGTGAGTAGTAAATGTCTCTCCTTCAAGCCAGGTTATGAGAAAGGGCAGCCGACCCAGCTGCTCTTCACCTCTCCCGATCACTCTCCAGCTTTGGCAATCTGGAGGTGAGAGAAAGAGATGGGAGCACCCTCGAATGCCTCAGGTGCAAAGATTTCATGTGCTTAAAATTTTGCCAGTCTTCACCCATTGAAGCTGGTATTTTATTTATCAAGGCAGGCCAGAGAGTGACCTAGGAGCGAGGGAGGAGGACTTGGAGCTGGATGCAGTGGGCAGAGGCTGGAGTAGAGGTGGAGACTGGTGATGCAATAACAGGGTCAGCTGGGTGCGTAAAACAGACACAAATGCAAAGGCAGAGATCTGGAGGGAAAAGCTGGCCAGATGAAGTGACAGGGGAGGGAGGAGAAAGAGGCCTGAGAGAGAACCTTGCTTAAAGACAAACAGAAAGGTATATAGCTGGAAGAAATGGGTAGAAAGGCCAGGCTGCTCTGGCCACATCCTAGCAGGAGACCGTGGAGGTGCTCTGTATCCCCCAGTCTCCTCATTCCCCTGCTTTCTGCAACCCTGCCCCAATCACCTGGCAAAGTGTGGTGCCTTCCTTTCCTACTGCCCCACCAAGTGCATGATAACCCTTGCTGTCCTCTTGGGGGGAACACTACACGTAACCTTAACACATAGGTGTTAATAAGATGGCATAGATGTTAATGAGATATAGGCCATGCGGAAGTTTTTGTTTTGACGAAAAGAAAACCAAAGACGTCATAGGTTAAGAGACTTACAGAGGTTGCAAAGTCAAGCTTGGAGCATGCCTGAATCACAGTCATTTTGCAACCTTAGATTTGTTCCCCATGTAGTAACCCAGCTCTTTAATTACCTGGCTTCACTGTTTTCACATGGTCTTGGCTTCTTTAGTCCCTGGATGGACACTGCCTTTCTAATCAGCAGCTATTCAGTATGTTATGTCACCCTTATTGTTCAGGGTTTGACTCTGATTTATTTACTGATCCCATTTGAACTCTGCTATAGACAGAATGACTCACTTCCTCAGGATCTTTTTACATACTCCCATGTTTTAGAACTTCACAGCTATTAATTGGTTTATGGTGATTTTGCAAATAGCAAAATGAGGGCAAATAGGGATTAAACTCAAATCATCCACTACTTTTAGAATCTCGGTTTGAGATATCTCAGCTCTGTTTTCTCAGAGTAGATATGCTAATGTAGCTAAATACACCACATGCAGACTCCAAAACTGAAAGAAAGCTCAGCCTTCCTATAAATGGCAGCCCACAAGGTAAGGAAAATGCCATTAATAACATGCTAAGAAACCTGGTACTTGCCTAGCATCACGCAGGAGCCTCTAGTGCAGTCAGGAATAAAACCTACTTCTTGGAAGAGTACCAACGTAACTACCCTTGCCCTTCCAACATCTTCCTGACTCATTCTTCCATACACCTCCCAAGCTGTGGGAAATGAGGCAGATGTCCTGAATATAGTAAGTGCCTAACCTGGGAAACTGATTCCCTGACAGAGCAGGTCCAGTCTCTACACTGAAGGAGCTGCCAAGTTTTTAGAAAAGAGTAGGCTGGTGTGTACTTCAAGAATGTATAAAAAGCACATGCAAGAGGAGATGAAATTAAGATTGCACATGAAGCTTTTACTTGGACACATCTAACCTCCAAAGGTTTGATTTCACAAGCTTTCATAATGTTCTTTACAGGGAAGAATCGGCTTTAAGTTCTGCATAAGGGTTCAGTGAACATTTGGCCCATCATAAGGGCATACATGCGTCCACTGGGGCATGCTCCATTAACTCAAGTGCTCTGGACTCACTTAGCCAGAGGAAGAGAATTTGCAGAGGCTAAAATCTCGAAAGGAAACAGTTTCCTTGCTCCAGCCCCAACAGCAGGGCTACATTCCCAATATCATCATTGACTTCCAAGACATTTCTCTCATTTCAAGATTTGAATATTCAGAGCTTTGGTGAAGGTCCCTCAGCCATGTACTGTCCCCAAAATACTACACCCCTTTCAATATGGGCAGAGCAGGTTTTCCCCAGGTCTAGACCCTGCATCTTGAGCCTGCATTTCCCATGTGCACCCAGAGAAGGCAACAGAGATCTGGGTTCAGCCTTCTGGCTCTTCTGAGTGTGGCAAGGTTAGCATTCCTTTCTCCCTCTGACTCCCTGCATTTTATTTTTCACCAGTGCTCTTGGGTTGGGGCTGCACAGCTGGCCCCTGGGGAATGAAAGTGCAGCAGCCAGGAACACCACTCTCTGACCAGGAGTACCGCCAGTTCTTCAGGTCCCTCCGGGCTGCCCGTCATGCCAGCACTGCCTGCCTCCTTCGTGCACTGTACGGCTGCCAGAACCCCCTGGTCCAGATGCTGGACAAGTACGAAAACCATGGAGTCATCCCTGAGGGTAAAGCCAACTGTGACTCCCCAGGGCAGGCAGATGGATGGGGGTCCTGTAGAGCCAGCACCAGACCTGATCACTGGGAGGGGACAGAGACTTGTGAGCTGGTGGGGGAGAGGAGTGGGGAGAGACCCTGTGGTGAGAAGACATCTTCTCGTGAGCATCCTCTCTCACACTTGATTGCATCCAAACATGTCCCTGGGACCAGCCTCCTTTCACACCTTGGGTCATGGAGATGACCAAGAAGTGGTGGAGTTTCTCACCAAGCTTCAGGGAGGCACCCAAATGGCATGGGGGTTTTATGAAGGGATGTCATTAGACAGTGAGGTTATTGCTGAGGGCTGGTGGGACCCCAGCACTGGAGTTTAACACTGAGTCTGTGTCTTTATTTGACTCTTTCTAGGGCCCATATGCTCTGAACTGCCAGGAACTCCTTTCTTCCCCGACTTCTGCACCTTTTCTTTTTATCGTTGTACTAGGAAAAAGTATTTCATTAAGGTGAGTTATTTAGCTGTTTCCTGAAGATCATGTTGTGCTCTGGGCAATGACCAGGGAAAAGGGAGAGCCTTGAAAATGAGGAAGTGGGAAAACAGGAGGCTAAAAGATAGGGAAGATAGAAGAAAGCCATGGGCATCCCACCTTCCAGTGACACTCGCACCAAGCTGACTACCTTACACAGATGGCACCTGCAGCCACTTCTCAAAAAGGGGACTTTGCAGAAGGTATTCCTGAAGAAAAAGAACCTTTGAGGACCACCTCAGCCCTTATCTCCAGCTCTCATTCATAACCAAGTTGAGACAACCTAGGTTACCCCAGGAGAAAGGGTGGTTCATGCAGGCTAGAAGAGAAGGAAAACCAACTGGGATTCACAAGAAGAGACTTATGGGGAGACTTGATAAGGAAATGAGAAGGTTTCTTTCCTTTCTTGGGCTCATCTTTGTAGGGAGTGGGAAAGACGGAATTGTACAGTGAGTGCTAGCCCCACAGAACAGGGGGGTGGCTAGGTGCCTGCTCCTGAATCCTACTGCCTCTACAGAGATGTGTTTTCTCCTCCACAGAGGACTGCATGCCCAGGAGAGACCAAAGCCGAGCTGGGGAGCACACAAGCCTTCAACGACATGACCATGAACAGTGATGCCATGTTGTCTGACATCTTCAGTCCCCAGTCGCCTTTTCCTATGTCTCCCACAACCGCCCAGCCAGTCCACTCCATCCCTGACAAAGAAGTAGCTGTGATCCCCACCTCCTTACCTGAGTCAAGGAACATGCAACTAAATCCTTCTGACCCACATGCCACGGAGGTGACAGCCAGTAACCAACAGAAAGGACAGCTGCCCACCAGTGACATCCAGGATCTCCTCCTGAGGCTACAAGATACCCATGTGCAGAATTCACTGCAGAAATTTCAGTTGTTGTTGACCATGGGGAAGACACTGGGAGAGGAAGAGTTGCAGGCTGCCGCCCTGAAGCTGCTGGTGGCCCTGAACAATGCAAGTGTGCCTCAGTCAGCAACCAGCACTGATACAGGGCACGGACGAAAGAAGTGAGCAGCAGGGGAGGATCAGCCATTGTGGCTTTTCTACATGGTGCCAAGTCAGATATGCTGCCTCAGAGGGGACATATGGGAAGATGGAAACAAGTGAAGTCCTCCTTCCTAGGCCTGAGGTATCGTCAAGGTCAACAATGCTTCCCCAGGCCAAGAGTGTGGAAAACAAGGGGAAAACCCATGTTTTCCAAGTGCATGGGAAAACCCATGGCATGTGAAATGGTATTGCTCAGGATTCAAAGAGAAAGATGTTATCCTCTTGGAAATAACTGTATTGAAGAGATACTGTCTCCTCCCACAAACTGTTCACTTGCTCTTTTTCAATTTGGGAGACAGGTCTTTTTGAACAAGGCAAGATGGAAAAATAATTAATTTTTCCTGCTTGTGGTTCTGCTACCATGCCTGTCCTGGACAGAGATGGGGTTTGTTCAAAGTCATGGGAGAACGCTGGCCTTTATTCATCAAATATAGGTGTCTCTGCTCAGAAGCATTAAGAGAAGAATCTTCTTTGGAAGTATGTGTATAAATATAGATACATACATACACAAGGGATGCTCTCTAAATGCAGGAAGGCCTTACCCTGCAAGGGAACTGCTGGCTTAGCATTCTCCTTGTATTGGTGTTTGCACATGGTTGTTACCTACCTCTGAAATAATGCTATGAAACACACAGGATAAATATTCATATTAAGAACCTCCTCTTGTCTCAGAAAATCAGAGAGTCTGATTTACGGGAATTTTGGCTGAAGCGCTGTTCCTTTTATAAACTCTGGACATACCTGTAAGTAAAACCATGTGAAGCCATCTGGAGCCAGCACTTGCTGCTAAAGGCTGAGTGAGAACTTCAGGAACCAGCTCCGTTTTCCTGACTCTCTACTCAGAATGAGTTTAGAGCTACCCCCATTGATTGGTTTTGGCTTGCAGGAGACCACTGTTAAAAGTGAGAGTCCCCTGTTCACCTTTCCTCTGACAGGCCTTTTTGTAAACTATTCCACGGAGGGCTATGAGGAGAAAGGGGCGAAAGGCAGCTCTCCTCAAGGATGCACCACCCCAAGCACATGCCTGTGGAGTGGGTTTGTGTCAACTGCCTAAGTAACACAAACACAACTGAGTGAAATACAGGCTCCATCCCTATCCATGGAAGGAAGTCCTTAGAAGAGCTCCTTAGAAGAAGATCTCAAAATTACAGGTCCTCCATTCGTCCTGGGTAGCTTAATCTCTCCCAAGGCCGACGGAGGTCACACCTGGGAAACGGGCAAGCCCTTGAACATGAGCGTTTGCTTGCTTCCATGGAGGAGTGCCCAGGGCATAGTCGGGACTGGGTGGGATCCCGACAAAAGCCAGGCTGTCCGGGCCTCACGCTGACACACCAGCGCCTCTGCTTCTCGCTCGAGAGATCCCAAAGCTGCCAGATCCCTGCCTGAAGCACCAGGGCGTCGTGTCCCCTCCAGCCGCCTGGCAGTGACAGCTCCTGCAGCGCCGGCAGCGAGGCACCGCCGGGGCATTTCTCGCAGCAGCCTTGCTTGCCATCACCGCCCTCGGGTCCTGGCTGGCAGCCCACGCATGGGTTGGCACACACGTGGGGTTGCCAGATTCGGCCTCAGCGAGCCAAACACCAGAAATCTCCTCGCCGGGTGGCTCCGGCCAGGCCCTCCACGACGCCGCGGCCTCCGGGCCCCCCCTTGGGCCGCCCTCCCATCGGCCGGGGGG